GTCATTGTTACACTATGCCTTTGTTATCTAGGCAACCATCTCATATCTTCTACATTCAATTGGATCGATAGATCCATTGACACAATAACTTGAAGGAAAAATTGAAGTCAGGATAGTTTTGGGCTGAGAATTGAGATAGGACACACCTTCGGCTTTTGCTCATTAGGCCAGAAAATTATGCACGAATCATACCAACATCACTAAATGTGACTCACCTTGACAGGATGAGACCGGCTTAAGATATGGCATTTGATTTGAATTATCAAATGTTAAATTAAGTCTATTCTCCTACAGAAAGTGAGGTTCTCCATTTTTGGACATGGTCAAATTAATTCAGGATACCTTGTTTCACTTAGAAACTTCGAGTGAACGAGATTGGTTATCTTCAAGTTAAAATCTATTTTGCTTACAGCAGGCAACATAAGCAAGATATTGTGATCCAATGGACAAAATCAACAAGTTATAATATTCCAAATTAAATTAGCCTATACTAGACTTTTCTATCATTGGACTTTGTTTTGGACAACTTCAATGGGGCCATATCATAATCCCATTTAACAGCTAGAGCAAAATGGAAAAGCAAGCATGAAATGTGGAACTTTTTGATCGAGTCTAACTTGACAAACATTTATTGAAAAGCTTGTAAAGACCTTTTTAGCTTTTGTAATATTATGATGATTTAAAAAATGGTTTTATAAATCTATCTTTGAAAACTTTGAAACAGTGCATTTGTACTTATAAATTTTCCTATAGTAAAATTAATATATCCTCTCTTTAATAACGATCCAAAGAAGTCATCAAACACATGTAATTGTGATCACAACTTGAGTCAGAAAAAAAAATATATATCTAAGATAAAATTAATATTGTTTTATCATACCAATCAACTAATGAGTATACACAAGTTTCTAGAATTTATTGGTAAACTTGAATTGGAGAAAGAACTACGAACTATGAAAACATATATATATATATATATATATATATTCTTAAAAGAAAAATTATTTTTTGACAAGGCTAATTCTACTCCGGTGGAGGCTATTTGGTATCTTGAGCTTCGTCTTCCTACAACCTCTAACAAAATTGAGTCCTTGGTCAAAGATAAAAGCTTGAAAGACCATGAATGATGCTTCGAACAAGGACCATCCAATGTTGCTAGGGGCAATCCACTAATACTGATCAGAGACATCCCATCACCACTAAATGATCAAGTTCCTAAAGAGGACACGTGCCACCGCACTAGGGACGTGAACGAGGACCCATTTTCACGAATCTCCATGCGCTTCCCACGGATGGCGGTGGCGACTCACAAGACGCCGTCGTCTTCTTCTTCCCGAATTCAACATAATTAATAGTAATCATAATATGAAAGATATATTATTTGGAAATAATAGGAGCATGCAGGATTGCAGGTGGTATGGTAAGGGAGTGATGAGGAGCGAGTTACCTTTCCGTCGTACTCACGGCGGGAGAGGACCTCCGGGGCGATGTACGCCGGCGTACCCACCGTCGATTTCGGCCTGGAGTGTAGCAGCGACGACTGGGCCGATTGATGGAAGACCGCTCTACGTTAGCATATATTTAAGAAGGGATTGAGCTGTTAGAGAATCGAAGAAAAGGGGAGGACCTTGGAGTAGCCGAAATCGCAGATCTTGAGGCGCGGCGCGGGGCTCCCGTCGAGCAGGGTGTTCTCCAGCTTCAGATCGCGGTGGCAGATTTGCTGAAGAATTTTCGTGGGATTAATCTTAGGTTTCTTGAGGAAAATTCGTGATTTTTTTTGGCTGATTAGTACCCGGAAATGGCAGTAGCTGACCCCGCAGATGAGCTGCTGGAAGAAATACCTCGCCTGCAAGAAGGGAATCGATACGAATCAATGCCCATATCGATCGATTTCTCTCGAATCGAGTAGATCGATTAGGACCTCGTCTTCGCTGAATCTTCCGGCGTCACAGATCCGATCGAAGAGCTCGCCGCCCGCGGCGTACTCCATCACGATCGCCAGATGCGTCGGCGTCAGCACAACCTAAAGAAATCTGATACGGACCGTGACGATAAAGTGGAAAAGGAAGAGAAAAGAAATCGATTTGGGGCTTGACCCGACCTCCTTGAAACGAATGATATTGGGATGGCGGAGCGATCGGTGGTTGACGATCTCCCTTGCCACGTTCTCGTCGATCTAAAGGGATCCATTTAGCGAATCAAGCAGAGAAGAGAAGAGGGATCACGAGGTGAGATCGGATCAGATGGGGATGGCTGGCTTACCCGGTAGCCTCTCTCGATGTACTTCATGGCGACGAGTTCCTTGGTCTCCTTGTGGCGCATCAGCTTCGCCACGCCGAAGTTCCCCGACCCAATGTTCCGCACCACCTCGTACTTCTCCATCCTCCCTTTCCTTCCTTCCCCAAGCTCGAGAGATCTCCTCCTCCTCGAGCTTTACGCTACCGACGCAAGCTCACTTGCAGCAGTCGCGCATATAAACCTCTCTCTCTCTCTCTCTCTCACTCAATCTCTCAACCTCAGCCGTTTTCTCGAGCAAGGGGGAAGAAACAAGATAAAATTAATTGATTTTTAGATGTTTTACGTGTTTACCAATCGGTTTCCTCGTGGGGCATGGTATTGGGTCCCACGTGGAATCTCAATGAAAAGGCAGGTGACTGGCGGGTGCGAATTTCCAGGTAGAAAAAGCATACTAGAAAAGAACTGACGGCTAAGGTTTATTCTCGGTCATTGGTTCCGGACCGGAGCCACGGAACGGCGTGGACAAGTGGGCTCGGGCGGACGGTTGTGCGTCAGCCAACGCAGAAAACCGGGTCCCGCCTCCACGTTTGCCGCGTGAGCTGACGTCATTAGCGCGGTTCCTCCAGGAGGTGGGCCAGACGAACCGTGGGGTGGGGCGCAATGGTCGACGGTACGTGACACGTGAGCCTCACATGTCATGCTTGTAGAGCGCGCATCTCAATATACAATTTGTTCGATTTGATATCGATTTGAAATCTTTTTTATGCAACCTTTTCTCAAACGTAAGCAGAATGTTATTCATAAGGAAAATTATATTTTTTTAAAAGAAAAATAAATAAATTTCAGCGTATCGATAATTTTTCATAAGGAGATACAAATCATAATAGGAACCTATCATGATATAGTTGTCATGTATAGTTAAGTCTTCGTCCATGAACATATACAAAGATTAAAGGTAGAAAAATATAAATTTTCTTCTCGTTTGATAGGAAGGTAATTACAAGTTTTCCTCTTTCCCTTTACGATAATAAAGACAATTTTAGACTTCCTTCCCTTCCTTTATAATAAGGAAGGACATCATAAATTTTTTTTTCCTCCTTCGTAATATAAAATTATATCATGAATAAAAAAAATAAGGAGGACTTTCTTATTTCTCATTATTAACTTGAGTATTAAAAAGATCGTGTCTCGAGTAAGTACGAAGAGATGCACAACAAGTTAAGACATGAGTGACTACCATAAGTCCCGACCCCGAGATGACCATAAAAAAAATAAATAAATGATCAACCCGACGAAGAATATGAGACGAAGAAGAAATAATTAACTCGAATCCTCTTACCCGAAGTTCGAATCGACTTCCTTGTATATAACTAAAATCAAAATCTTTTTATAAATAAAGAATAAAGGATTTTTGAAAGACTCTCAACCGATAAAGACCCTACAAAAGAGATGAAACAAATCTAAGTATTATCGTATCCACTACAATTATGACCACACAAATGAAGGCCCCGAACAAAAATAATATATTCTCATAGTTTGAGAGTCAAATAACTAATCAAAATTTACATCTTTTGGGGTTTTATTTCAAGAGGGTAAAATAGGTCAAAGCTTAAAGTCATGCATCATGAACCATGACTAGGAACTTGTGTGTGTCCGAAAACCCTCACGGAGATATATATAAATATATATATATATATATATATATATATATGAACTACTATAAGAAAGATAATTCATGTCTAAAGAATCCTCTTAATTCTCTCTAGATCATAAGATTATCCAAAAAAATAAGAAAATTTAGTTGACCTCAATATCAAAACCAAATGCTTCCTTTCTTCACTACCATGATTTTTAAAAAAATAATTTTTTTGGAAGAACTCAAATTATATATATAAACTCATGTAAGTTCGTAAGATAACGGATTAATGTGGTGAGCTCTGAATCCGAGTGTGAGAAAAAAAAAATGCAAGACATAATTCATTTAGCTTTACATAAAAATAAAGCACAAGTGGTTGAATTAAACATCAGACTATACCACAATTCATATTCATAATCTACTTTGATACTATAATAAATGATTAATTGACTTAATATTTATACGCATATATATATATATATATACATATATATATATATATATACATATATATATATATATATATACATATATATATATATATA